CAAATACCTGTACTTTCTACTTCTTACATGTTGAACTCAAATACCTGTACTTTCTACTTCTCACATGTTGAACACAAATACCTGTACTTTCTACTTCTTACATGTTGAACTCAAATACCTGTACTTTCTACTTCTCACATGTTGAACTCAAATACCTGTACTTTCTACTTCTTACATGTTGAACACAAATACCTGTACTTTCTACTTCTCTCATTTTCCAAACAGGCTGGTTCCTTTAGTCTGAATGTGTGTTTGGTGGCGTGATCATTATTATTTAGAGTCATTGCGTGCCTATTGATTTGAACACGATCCGTGTATCCATCATTTCCTGGTCTTCTCTAAAGAAGAGGGACCAATGGAAACGTTGTCATGTTGCCGTTGTTCAGCATGGAAACATTCATTAGCTAACAATGACATTATTGTTCTATTAATATAAAGGGAGGTCAGGTACTCTTTAAAACAGCTGCTAGTTATGGGTACTTTTTACTGAAGTACATTTCAAAGTTCTTTACTTTGACTTGAGTAAAGAAGTTTAGTCAGGACTTCTACTTTTACACGAGTATCTGTACTTCTACTTGATTAAAGGATGTGTGTACTTTTGCCCTCTCTGCTGTTATGGTGAATAATACATACTTAGAAGCTGCTTTCCTTCCCTACAACACGAACTTAGCTTTGAATTTCTGACCATGAAGGAGCAATTCGGACAAATATACATAAGAAACCACATGCAGCAGATTAGAAGAATCCATACTTCAAAAGGTGGTTCTGAGCCCACGCTGGTGAAGAAACATTATTAAGCTTCTCACAAAGGTGTTATACATCACAGCACAGGTAGATCGCCATGGTAACTTGCATCATTGCAGGTTACACTCTGATCCAACATATAAAAAAGCCAATTAACTCTCCCCGGCATCACTTATCCTCCAGGATCCCGTGGACTTATTTCAATAACCTTTGTTTCAAAAACTTGATTTACAAAACCCGGCATGAACAGACACTGCACTGCAATAAATGAGACAAGTAATAAAAAGAGGCGCGCAGGGGAGGGGTGACTATTGAATTTAGAGACAATAAGAAGGGCTGTTCACAGGACAACAGTGTTTGGAGAGCGCTGGAGCCAATCCCCTCTCCATAATGATTTATGATATCATTTTTATATATGATACATCCAAGCAGTAGATTGCAGCCGTATTCCATCACTGCAGAAGATGAAGTGGACTCTGGGAATAGAAAATCTTTTCTCAGAAACAATGCAGTATCAATAAGACGCTGCATGTCCACTGTACCGTAGGCACTGACACAGCTCTGGCTTTCACGCCTACTTTCTCACAGGAGTTGAAATACATTTGATTCTTAATGGTCATAAGATCATTAGAGTGGCTGTAGTTAATGACACCATAACATATTTTCTCCCAATTGATTTTCATATTAACAACACATATTGTTTATTTGCCTCTCTGGTCGGCAGTAATGCAGTGTATACATATAGGGCTTTTATTGTGAAAGGTTAACACACTTTTAATAGGGTACCAATCATCTTAATACTGATGCTGTCAATATTCAAAAGCCATTACATTCTGCATTCAACATTTACTAATGAGAAATGTATAGCAACATGTTAAGTATTGCCACTTTAAATGATCTTAGATCACACTCCGGTACAGATAAGGTTAAGATCTATAAAATATAGTCTGGTTTAAAACCGTGAAGAGCCTTAAAAAATAATAGTTGCATTGGATTGGGAGCTAAATGTGGTTTGATTTGGTCACATTACTACAGATTCTTTCTCTATGTAAAGGCACTTTTTAATTATAATCTGATAATCAACTACTTTACCAGTCTGACATCATAGGTTTTGTTTTGACTACATTTAAGTATCTCAGCGAGACAAGACTCAGAAACCCTCTGTCATCTAACTGTCACATTGCTGCGAGGAAAACTTAATTATTGCCTCGGCTCGATCATGATAATTACCTGATGAGATTCAGGCAGCTAATTAATTCCAAAATAGAAACGAAAGATGTACTTGTAAGAAATCTCGAGAAGGTGTTTCATGGAGACAGTGTGTCTGCGTGTGTGTTATATACTGCGCATATGTGTGTGTGTGACACATGCCATCCTGTCTTTGCCATAGCCTGCCCGCAGTGTGGAGGTTAGTTTTTTAGATATCATCTCTCTCTCTGCTGCCACTAGAATCTGAAACTGACTATAACATTTTATCATCCGCAGCATACACCTGATAAGCCCTGTCCCTGCCTCTGTGCCACTCTCCTCGCTGCCATCATTACTCACTGTGGCTCTGACATAGAGTTAGCACACAGCTCAGGGCATGCTGCACAGCTCATGATGTGCCCTCATTTCCACCCACCTATTATATCAACAGTGTGAGGGGGAAATGCAAAGTTCCTGTTGAACAAGGGCTGAATCTGGAATAGTGCTCTCACTGTGGCAGCTTATTCAGATCACCTGGCTGATGATTACCTGTCATTACTTTATAAATTGCTGCAAATACTGAAAATTGACAGGGATGTGGTGTGTACACACAGACAGTGCTTTTGTGCTTCCTGTTATGCATACACACACACTGTCTACCCACTGTATGAAAAAGGCTCTTCAAAATGCCATACGCCCACTTGAGACAGCATCTTGTCATTCTTTATGATGCAAAGATATTTAGATGACTCAATGTCCATGTCAGCAGTGATATAGCAGGAGGAGGTGCATTTTTATTTATCCATTTTTTATTTAATTTTCAAATCAGTTTAATTTCCTGGCTGCACAGCTGTTTGACCTGGTTAATTGGCACTGAGACAGTTGCACAACACACAGGACTGTTAAACTAGGCTAAGGACAAGGGTATGGCGGTATTATTTGCCTCTATCCTGAACAATTTTTAGCACAGAAAAAAATCTTGAGCACACAATGAAACATTTTGTGGATAGAAAATTGTATTGAGCTCGCAATGGAACATTTTTGAGCAAAGAGAAATACATTTTTGCAACACATCAATTATATTTTGAAGAGAAATTGACTTGACTTGAAGATTCCTTTCGTGCTCAGTATTTTTTTCTGTCCTCAAAATGTTTCATTGCGTGCTCAAGATAGAGGCACAATAATAACCCCATCCAAGTGGACCTTGAATAAATTGCACACAAGGTGCACATCAGTAGAGTAATCTTGAGCGCATGTAAGGTCTGTGTATTCAGCCAAAGAAAGCTATTCTGAGTTAATACATGCAACTTTCAGAAACTAAAAGGTGAGAAGTTTACTTTAATGACTTGCTAAATCTGTCAGGTTGGTGCAGAAGAACTTTACCAAAGATATAAAAAGCTTCTTTCAAGAACGAGTTTTTAGAAGTAGTTGTTATTCTGCTTTGCTGCAGTCGGTTAGCTTAGCTTAGCACAACGACTGGAAACAGGGAACAGCAAGCTTAGCTGCCTCTGTCCAAAGGTAAGAAAATATATCTAATACAATATAAAGAATTAAACTGTGGCTTTGTCAGTAACAAGCATTGCATTTAATTGCCCTTTCTAAATGTTTATCAAAGTGTTAGCATGAAGCAAGTACAAGAATGATAGCTACAGAATAACACATGTCTCGTGGAAGTTAAGTGTGTTTAACATTTTATAATGTAATCATTGAGATAATTATCTGTGACATAAGAGGCAGTTTAACATTAGCACAAGTAAATAAGTGTCATCGAGCAAAGCTAACTTATATGCAATATTAAGCTATGTTTTGCTAGCATTAGCTTCCACAGTCCATGGGACATTTCCATGGTAAATGCTAAACCAAATAGTAATGGCGTAATAAAGTTATTTTACTAATGTCAGTTAAACATTTACATAAAATAAGCTAACGTATGCAACCATAAGCTACTGGCCATAACATACTTATTAAGAGTGCTGCAACAAAACCCAATGAGTATTGAATTTAGCAATGGTGCATTGTTGTTTTATTATTTAAATCAACTTCTCAAGATCAATTATGTTATTTCTGTGTCTCATTTGAAGCCTTAAAAACCTGCTTACTTAATTGTGTTAACATTAATTACTGTTCTATATGCTATATCAACCTGTTGTCTTTATAAAGTTATACAGTCTCATGTGAGGTGTGCATGTCATATGTTATCCATTTGTTAAAACGAAAGGAAGTACATAGCATTATGAGAAATATATATAATAAAAACGAGACTGCAATATTATTAAATATTATTTTAAGTGTGCCTGGTGTGTAATATTATAGGATTTATTGCACACATTCTCCGGTTTATCCTGACTGTCTCTCACTCCTTTTCAGACCATGTTACACACACACACACACACACACACACACACACACACACACACACACACACACACACACACACACACACACACACACACACACACACACACACGCACACACACAGCATAGCATAATGACAGCAGGAAAAGGCTATCTCTCTGTCAACAGTGTATTAAAACAAACACNTTAAGTGTGCCTGGTGTGTAATATTATAGTATTTATTGCACACATTCTCCGGTTTATCCTGACTGTCTCTCACTCCTTTTCAGACCATGTTACACACACGCACACACACACACACGCACACGCGCACACGCACACGCACACACACACACACGCCCTGTAATGTGTGCTTCGATACAGAGGGGCTGTTATATAATAGTAATTTTCCTGTCCCTTTATTTCACAGCTTTTTATGCAGATTGATACCCTCTACCCAAAGAGGTTTGGAACATGGACCGACTTTGCCAAGAAATTCTGCAACGGCCATTACAGGTGACACACACACACACACACACACACACACGCACACGCACACAGCATAGCATAATGACAGCAGGAAAAGGCTATCTCTCTGTCAACAGTGTATTAAAACAAACACAACCAACATTCCTTAAGCTCATTAATGAAGTGTAACATGTACAAGTTGTTGTAATGCAGGTGGAGCTGAGCAGATAACTCTCACAGAGAAAGTGAGCATATTTCCTAAAACGGCAAATAATCCTCTTAAGTGTAAAACCTTATTTTGGTCTGTTCTTATTTATACACTCTTAATTCTTAGTTAAGTGGAATTAGCAGAGTTTCAATAGACCTCTCCCACTCTTTTCAAGTGTCTGCTGGGATAAAGTGGGCTGTACCTGAGTCTGGAGCGATGGAGCTGCTGAGTTGAGGGTTTTGTTGTCAGAGCCAGATCACAACTGAATCCAAGCGTTAAATGCCAAATGGCTGCCAGTTGCCAGCGATGATCAGTTACATGTGTGAACAAACACATCAAATGCATTGTTTTGGCTGTCCATCAAAGTGGGCAGCTCGATCGGGGATGGGCCCGCCGCCATTAATGATAACACTTTGTATATAATTGCACTTATTGTGGCTGGGGAATGCCATTCTGAGCCACACACAAACGATTCAACCCACAGTAGGGCACAAGGCATTGTTATATCAGCAGAGTCTTCCTATTCCCTTCATAATAGAGAAGTGTCAGTGGGACATGAGAGAAAAGCAGCCTTACAGCTTGGAAGTTGCTGGTTTAAATCCTAATAGAGAACACAATTTAAGAAGGAGTTAATCAGTTTCCCTCCCTCAGCAACTACAAGTTTAAATACCGAAGTGTGAAGAAGCTCATTTTGGCAGTGGCTTGTTAAGTTGGTGCACACTTCCAGCCAATATGGCAGGAAACCAGCCTTTGTGTGGAGGGCCAGTTCTATTCTAAAAATCAGTTTGGCAGATAAATTGCGAAAGTTGCCGGGGAGTTTTGGGATAAAACCTGCCGCTGTGGCCATTAGACAAAATACTTTCCTGCTCTGCTAACTGCCCTAAAGCTAAAAAGTGATCCCCCGACTGCTCGGCTGCAAATGATGGGAGTCTGCTGTAGTGCCGGGCGGCTCCCAGGTGGCAATGTTTAAATGTGTTTAACTATTTATTCTGGGCATAGCCGTAAATAAGCATGTTTGCTTCTCTCTGTGTGTGTTGGGAAAATACTGAGTGTCCTCTTCCAACATGAGAGTAACATGATATCAAAGGTATCCCAACTGTAGCTGTGAACATGACAGGATGTGTGATTACCTAGAAGAGCGTCAGGACTGTTTGAGGCATATGATAGCTATGTGATTAACATGATGATTCAGCCTCTATGGAGAGAGACATATGACAAGCATGATCATTTCTGACGTGGAGCTAATCTGAAGTAAACATTGAATACTGCTTTCTATTCCTCCATCTTGTGACTGTGGAACTCCCTCTCTTGGATATCAGCATGTGAAGGACACTGTTCAGGAACTAGTTGATGCTCTGTATGTGATGACTACTTCCATTCTGGAGAGGATCACAGATACATGGATCCTGAGATTGAAGCTCAAGCCGGTGAAGAGTGATATTTTTCTCTGTGTGAAAATCAAATGCATCAGCAGCTACAGCTTCTCCTCGCTTTCTCTCAGGTACTTCGGGAATCGCCGGCAGTGGGACGCTCGCGGATCGTCCAACCTTTCGGAGCTTCACCAGCGCCTGAGTGAAATCATGATCCGTCGTCTAAAGGCCGAAGTCCTCACTCAGCTGCCCCCCAAAATCCGCCAGCGAATCCCCTTCGACCTGCCTAAGGACGCTGCAAAGGTCAGGCATAAAAGACAGCATGTGGTCTTTAGTCAGACATTCAATTCACGGTGCTTTTAAAACACTACTGATGCATGCTTCCTCATTTTCCTCGGTTGCTGCTAACAGTCGCTTTACAGTCTAATCATCAATTGATAAATAATTGTGTGTGTTGAATGTCAGATAATAATAAGATGCCCATGGTAATTTCCCAGAGCCCAAGGTGGCATTATCAAATGTCTGAGCTGAAACGGTTAATTAACAAAATAGGTCCCAAATAATTTCCTGTTGATTGACTAAAAGATGAATTGCTTCAGCTCCTAAATTGTTATTACATGCCCAGCACAAATCCAAAAGCATTACTTTAAAACATCTCGATTAATGGAGACGCCACAGATTCACGCTGTTAGGCAAAATTAAATTCTGCCATCTCCAGGTTTGTTACTCACCACACAGGGAGTGATTGAAGATGAAGTTGAGATGATTTAGTCTCCTACTCATCACGGTTAAAATGTTGCTGCTTCAACGTTTAGCTAAACCCGAAATGACATCAACTACTTGCAAAAAACTAAAATAAGTGGGGACACATTTAACGAAAAATTGTAGGTCCTGTTTGCGGAATAATGAATACAAATTGATATATGGATAACCTTGGTGCTAAGCTACAGATTTCAGATACAATATCAAATTAAAGTGAAGAACATCCTACTGTAGAAATACAATCAGAATAATGTATTATTGTGTTAGTATATGTATAACTTTAGGATTATAATTACTGATGCATTCATTTGTTAAGCACTAATATCGCAGCTAGCTCATATTGTATCACTTCATACTAAGGGTAGCTTGAAAATTTGAGCTTAACTTAAATAAATACATCCAAACACATATATCTGTTAATTCAATTACCTGCAGATTAATTAGTAACTCTAGTTGTCAAATAAATGTCATATAATGCTCCAAGAAGTGCAGAAGTAAGTATGAACTGGAAACACGAAAGTACAGTACCTCAATATTAATTGTACTTGAGTAAATGTACTTTTTTACTCCCGATAACTGTCATAATGATTTGCCAATTTACTAGGTTTGAGGTTTTTTCTACATTTTCTGATTTAATTGGCGTATTTCAGCATGGCAGCTTATTCATTTCTGCTGTTGGGGATAATTCTCCAGCAGCTACAGGCCTCAGGGACGTGATGCCAGTTTCCATCAGGAGATCCGTCATAACAGCTGACGGTGTAACATACTGTATAATAATTTCTCGTCCATTTCCATGACTGTCACCTCCCCCTCTGACTGCTTCCCATTTAAGTCATGGACCACTTTGCTTTTTTGCGCACACAGCTTCATGTCAACGCATTTCTGTTACCGTTTTTGCTGCTAAGGTAAAAAAAAAGTTATGTATTTCACTTTGGACTTTCAACATAACCAGCATTTATGACATCATTCCTTGTGGGTAATTTAGTCGGATCACATCAGAGTAGTTACGGGAAAAACTATTTTAATTCCAAAGTTGTGGAAAATACCTACTCAAGGTTCAAGGCTTTTATTGTCATGTGTACATAGCTACAGTGTAGTTATGACAATTAATAGAATATAATATAAATGGTGCAGAATAGTCTATATACAAGTAATTGGAATATTGATATATACAGGGCCGTCCCTCCCTACAGGCCGATTGAGGGTTCCTCAACTGAGCCTAAAATGCGGCTCGCTTCTGCGGCGCAATTACTGTGGCGCGGCACGGTTTCGCCGCTGCTCCACTAGCACCCCAGGGGCGGTTCTAGGGGGGGCAGGGGGGGCCAGTGCCCCCCTAACACTGACCTCTGACCCCCCTGTGGCCCCCCTAAAAATGAAAAGTGAAAAAAATGTATGATTTATTACACGATTTATTGAATGACGGAATAGGCGGAACTAACGTTATTCGTCATTCTAGTCGGACCCATTAGAGCGGTGCACTCAGGACCCATTAGAGCGGTGCACTCAGGACCCATTAGAGCGGTGTTTAGAACGTTTCGAGAGACTACCACGATAATTGAAGGTGAGTTAAACTATTGTATCCGTGTAATTGTAGATGTAAAGTAGAGATGTAACTGTTCGTTGCCTTTATTTTTATATAAATACGATATGTAACTTAAGCTGAAGCTAACTATAAGATATATCTGAAATAAATAAGTGTACTGAAACAAATACCAATAACTGTATTGCATTGTTTTCTTATGCGCAATTACTTCATACTGTCTAGTTCTCTTTTTCGTCCTGCATTTATTGTGCCCCCCTCAGAAAATAACTGGCCCCCCAGTGGCCCCCCCAGTCAAATTGGTCTAGAACCACCACTGTAGCACCCACGTCGACGCTCGCGAAACAGGGCCTCATGTTGGCCAGTGACGGCCCTGGATATATATACTGGTTCTTCCCTTACGCCTATGCAGAGATACGTGCCTGTGTGTGTGGTTTCTCTCCATCATGAAGAGGATACCAGGCTATTTGTAGAGTAAATGTTTCCTGTGTAGGTGTTTCTCTTTTACCCCCCCGAAGTTGCGGTTTCTGCCTCCCACGCCACGCTGAATGCATGTGCGCACGTGAATGCTAATGTGGCTTCGACTCGGCCTTTCGGTGCGCCGGGTCACCGGAGTCAGAGCTACGAGTGGTTTGCTTTCCCGCTGGGAGCGAAGCAGCACAGAGAACAATACACATCCAGAAGCACTTTGTTATGTTTTGCTCTGTATCATAGCTCTTTCGGCGCTAATTACGCACGGAGCCACCTTTTCAGCGGTGACACAACAATGAGGAAGTTTGCTCAGGAGGTGATGATGCAGGGGGTTTTCACAACCAAAACCCTCAGCTTTTAAAGGAAGCTTTAATTAGAGGCTAACTATAGTCACTGTTTCTACATCAGACTCGCGTGTTGAACAGTTGGAAAAGTTCACGTCATGTTTTGCTAGTTGGTTAAAACTGCAGCTGTGAGATAAATGTCCTTTTTTTTGGGGTAAAAATACAAAAACGAACGACCGGCTATAGCTGTTCGGCCTCGTTTCTGTTCATGAGATGAATGTGCATGACCAGGTATTTGTCTAGTGAGAAGAATAGACCCTCAGTTTCACCCTCCCATCTAAATGCACTGGTTAGAGGGAGATGTGAAGTGGCCAGTCACCCAAATCCGCAGCCATTGTGCTTCCCACATTCACGGAAATATGAACAATATAAAACATAAAAGCCTAGGTGGACATTATTTCCCTCTAAACAAACTCTCCTTTAAAGCACATTTTTGCTAACTGACGGTACACAGTGTGCACCAGGACCACTCACCAGCTCAGCCCGGCTCCTGCCGTCTCATTTTACTCCCTAATGATGGCTTTTATCTTCCACTGCAGACACTTTTTATGCCGCTCCTGCCCTTTACGTTTTCAGCCCTGGCCTTTTGTCGGTGTTAGTCTAGCGAATATCATCAAGGGCGGGAGTGTTTAGCCACTCGGGGTTTTGTTTTTCCCCCCCAGAAGATTATAAAGCTTGAATGTAACATTTTTAATTAGAAATAAACATTGAGAGACAGCCTGAGTTGTGTTTGTGCAGGTGCTGCTGAGTGAGACATCTGAGGGAAAACATAAAGGAGTCCTTCCTGCAATATGATACTATTTATTCACTCAACCGTCCTTGACTTTGACAACGTTTGAATCCACAGAAATGCTAATTATCTCACTAAATAGTGTGAAGCTTTCATGTTTCACCAGAAAGCTTTCCATTGTACAAGTCGGGAGCGCACAGTGTCGAAAATACCGTTGTGAAATCCTCTTTATCTTTACATATGTGTGTGTGCTCGCATTAATAAGGCTTCTCTCCAATTCTCACTCTTTTCCCTCCCCCTCTGCTCACTCATCAGTGTGTGTATCTTTGTGTGTGTGTGTGTGTGTGTGTGTGTGTGTGTGTGTGTGTGTGTGTGTGTGTGTGTGTGTGCTTAATCACGCGCAGGCCACCTCTTCCTTCAGCTCGCCATATGGTTCACAGTTTTGCATCGTTTGATATGCAGCGCGCAAAGAAAGTGTTCATTCCTGTTGAATTTTTACACATTTTCTGGTGTTGCAGCCTGGATCTAGACAGATGCAATTGGGAGTTGTGAAGAAAAGGCACACAATGAAAAAGTTTTCCTTAATAAAATGATGTCATCCTGAAAAAGTCAAGGGGGTTCTTGTGGAGCACTCGAGATTATAGGCACCAAAGCTTTTGCATGACTATTGAATTAAACCCAAGCTTTGCAATCATCCGAAACAGTACGCTGCTTTTCTTGTCACAATGTGCGTACTAAATGTTCCCAAAGATTGCCACTAACTTTAACATGTCTGTATGATAAATATCAACGAATACACAGCCTCTCTGCGTGTCTCCTTCACGAACACGAGGAAACATATGCTGCTTTTCACCGCCTCTCCCTCTGCCATCCTCTCGTTTCTCCTCTCCCGCCTTAAATACTTCTCGCCAATCACCTTGAGAGCACGCCAGGCGTCTTTGATTTATTGTACCGGCCAGGCTGCTTCTCCATCTTCGACCCCGGCTTGTCACAAGGCGGCTATAATTGGGCGATGCTCATGACCCACCTAACACAGCAGCCCAGTCTGAGAGGGGGGTGGCATCCTGGGGAATTCTCCATCTCTCTTTTCTCTCTCTTTCTGTTCCAGGGAAAGTAGGACACCCAGCAGCTCCATTAATTGTTTTGCCCTTTATATCTCAAAAAACAGCCGAGAGAGAGAGATAAATAAAGGACACTGTCTTGTCTCTCTTTTGCAGGAGGCCTCAGCCAGCTTCGCAGAGTGGGAGCGATTGATGAAGGGACTGGGGTCGGGGGTCATCGGCACGGACAGCAACCCCTTCACACAGGTCATGAGCCTGGTCACACGGATGTACAAGCAAACTGCGATTGCCAAGGTAATGGGAGAGCAGGTGCTTCTGGAGTCTATCTCACTTTAACCCAGCAGTACATACACCTTGATTGGCTTCAAAGATAGTCTGTATTTCTCTGAATACTACCTAAGGTGCTCTATATGTTAAGATATCAAGGCACACAGGGGGATAGGGGAACCAATGGTATAAAATGAGACGGCACGTTCCCTCCTAAATATGTGCGTGCTAACGTAGACATATTACGAAAGTCAAAAAAGTAGTTAGACGTACGTATAGGCCGTTTAAAAAACGTCAGGTGTAAGCATGTGTGTATTAATCCGCAACTGAAAATAGTCCCCAACAAAGAACAAAAAAACAATCTGAAATGCGTACCGTCACTTGTGTCACAAAATGCTTTTGCGTACCGACGTACTTGTGAAGCTTTTCCAGAAGGCGGTTAGATCACCGGACGACAGAGTTGGTCTCCGTGTGCACAGACAGGGCTGCTGTTAACGTCGGTCTGTACAACGGGATTGTGCCAAAACTACGCCAACCGGCTGCGGAGGGAGACTCTGAAACAGCTGATCACAACGTTCACACTCTGTGGTCACGAAGTACTCCACTAGCCCCCCCCCCGTCGACTGTCCTGAAGCACTCCACTAGCATCTCAGGGAAAACAGTTTTGGTTTGCACAATATCTTTGGACTTGCTTGAGACTTAAAGACTTGGTACTGACTTCATTGTGCTGCAAAATGAAGCCAAAAATTAGGAATTACCTTAAGAAAATAGTTTGTTAAATACATTTGATGTAAAGCTACCCCTTTGTAGATGTACATATCCATATCAACAGTGAGAAAACAGATGCATTCACATCATTACACCAATATCTGCATACTTTTTTATTGATGGAAACATGCTTTGGGAGGATTTTAACCTCTATGAGCCAACAGTTACAACATCAAACTACACACAATACCTAGAACAGTTTAAAAAGCATAAAAAATGGGAAAGAAAATGCACTTTTTATTTATATTTTAATGTTTCTGTAAATAGTGAGTTGACGGTACAGCATCATGTTCACAGCCGCTTGAGCCGACCGCTCTGTGAGACCTCAATTGGGGGAAGCATCGCCATGGTAACAGAGCCTAATGGCCGCCCAGTGAAAAGCACTTAGACAAAGTAGGGAGTTATAACCAAGGTATTATTTAGTTGCGTCCAGCTCGGCTTGATTTCACCTTATCTCAAAGTTACACACCGCAACTAAAATAGCATCTCTGTGATGCTGTTGCTGTGGAAACCCAGTCGGCTCTCAGGTTGAAGTGACGTCTTTTTTTCTGTTTTGATGAGAGAACGGGAAGGTGGTTTGATGCAAACACAGTGTGAGGAAGGGTTGGAGGTCAGAGGTGTGGAGAATGTAACATTTACATTTCCTGTTTCTCAGTGGGAAGTCCTCATCAGTCTCCAGATTTCACTCTAATCTTGATGCTCTGAAACCTGGCAGTTCCTCAATCTCTTATGTTTGTAGTCGAGTAAACATTTCCCCCAAATATAGTATCCCTCACCAATCGTCTGTTTTGCTCAAGAGCTGGTGTTCCTCTCAATTAGCCCGACGCCCTGAGCCATGAGGAGCGAGCCCCGAGGTTAACGAAGACCGGAGATAACCACCGAATGCAATCATCGACACGCTGCTCGCTCAGCCTGCCTCCAAGCCTGGATCTTTCCTGCGCTCCGCGTTGTTTGCTGATTGGATTTCTGCTCAGTTTAGCCTAACACTGGACCTCCTTTCATTACAAAGCCCCCCCCACGCCCACCCAACCCACCTCAAAGCCGATACCCGGTCTCATTTCCTCTCCTATTGGTTTTAAGAGTCAGACACACTTTCTACTTCAAGATAAAAAAAACGTTCTTTTTTTGGATCACCAGGAGGGTTGCAATGGTGTGATGGATTCACAAATCTATGTCACTCTGACGAGCATCGCGGCCTCTTCCTGCTTTGCCAGTCCGCCTGGCGACGGACCTGCCAAACGCCTTTGGGGTATTTTTATTTACCCGCCAAGCATCTGCTCCCAATTACCCAGAGAGGACAGCTCTGATGCTGGACTTTAAAGCGAGCTAACAGGCCGCTTCAGACAGCCGAGAAGTTTGTGCACTAATTAAACTCAGCGGAAGGAAGCCTGCGAAGCCAAGCCGTCAGTAATGAGGACCCCCCAGATCAGAAAAGGGTCGGCAGGCCTGGTGGAAAGATTCATTATCAGGCGCATCGGCTAATTATCAGCGAGGCAAAGCAGAGGTTCTCCTGCCAGAGCAGGTGTGATGGCAAAGAGGTTGTGCAGATTACAGGGGTGGGATTCACACCCAGGAGATAGGCCTGTCTCCAAAAAAAACGTCCAGCAAAAACTCAGCATTTCTCACTAGTTGGTTCTATTCTTGGCTGCTTTATGGCCCGGGGCTCTGAAATGAGTACTGGGATGCTCAATGACATGCTCATGCGGACAGATACAGAAACCTGCAAGGCACGGTTAACTCAGTCACACTTCTGCTGCTTTCTCTTTCAGATTGTCAGCTTCACACTGTCAATCAGGGTCACAGACTTCTGCAGAAACAACAAGCAAGATTGTGACTGTGATGTTTTTTTCACCATTTGACTTCATTAATAAAACAATATTTAAGTGGAAAAAGAACAAATAACTCTAGAGTGAAATGCTTGAGACCTGAACTTTTAGTTATGTTAGACTGCACTCAACACTTTGACACCCTTACAAGCCTTACTTATATATTTTTAGCGGCATTTGCAAGTCCTGACAAAATCTGCTCTTTTTTGAGCTGTCCTTGAGCGGTTGTTAAAGTTTCTGATAGTTTGACATTTTGGGGGGAAATAGCTCATACACTTTTTTTCGCAGAAAGTTAGATGAGAAAATAAATGCTACTCATATCTGTCTGCAGAAAATGAAGCTACAGCCAGAAGCTAGTTAGCTTAGCTTAGCATACATGCTGGAAACAAAGGGAAACTGCTAGCCTGACAAAATCCAACGACAACAACCTATTCGACTATAATATTGGTGTCAATCCTTTTGTCTAACGAATGCACATCATGTTTTTGTTAATGTTAGTTCAATAAAACAATATTAAGCTTTTGAACATTTATTACAAATTGTCGCCAAAGGCCGTTGAAAAACCGGTCAGACCGATCCATAATATATCTGTTTTGATGACATTTGAAACAAATCAGTCGCATTGACCCGAAAACACATTTTGAGTTGTATACACTGCTGGAAAGAGGATATTCCTAGCCTAGGAATATCCTCTTTCCAGCAGTGTATACAACTCAAAATGTGTTTTCGGGTCAATGCGACTGATTTGTTTCAAATGTCATCAAAACAGATATATTATNCTAAATATGATATTTGGCCTCAAATCATCTGAGGCCTGGGGCCCCCCCCGCGATCTTTGGCGATCTCTGATTGGTCGGGACGTTGCGAGGCTCGTTGCTGCTGTGAGGAGCGGACAGGTTTCCGGGTCGGCGATACAGCGAGAACAAGCGAAACTCATCCTGAGCACACAAACACTCACAGCCGAAGTAAAAACAACAAGTGTGGCTTGATATTGAGTAAGAAAAAGGTTTGTAACGCTGTGAGAATGGGTCTGAGGAGAGCATTTCTCCACCATCCCAACTCGGCTATTACCAGCGTTCAGGGAGCTCTATGCAAGTCAATGGGACTCCCTGTTAGTTAGCCAAGGGGTCCTGGTGTGTGAGGGGCTCCAAGGATTGGTCTATTTGGGCCAATCCGGTCATTTGTTGTTGATCTGGGTGTTCACACGTCACAGAACCCAGGAAGCAAACAATGGAGAAAGAGAAATGTCCAACGAGGCGTTCTGGGGCAGCATAGACAGGTCTTCTCTGTGTTAGAGTTTTACTCTCTACAGGGTGTACTTTGAGGGTTTGTGACTCTGCAGACCGTTTACATGCAGAAAAACCTTCATAACACACAAGGGGACGGATAACAACCAGAGAGCATGACATGGGACCTTTAAGAAAAATGAAAACAAAGTTTTTAAAAAAAAACAAGCCGCTTGAGGTTACCTTGGCTTCGATGGCGGCCTCGGTGCACGCCTGCAGCATGGTGAGGTGGTGGGCGAACACCAGGAACTTCAGCTGCTCCGCCTCCAGCATCATCTTAATGTAGTCCTTCACAGCTCCCGCCTGGACACACACAGAAATAGACACAGATGAAAGGGAGCTACACTGAATCCATCACTCCACTGCTCCACCACACACAGAGGAATCGGCTAGATCAGTGAAGAAGTCAATTAATCACCGCGGCATCCTTTCCGTGTGATCGATTCTCTATTGAATGCCAGGGATCCAGACTTTAGACGGAGAGAGAACACAGAGCGACCGGGGCACATTTGTCAGCTCGCAGATAGTGAGAGCAAATCAATAACCTCGCAACTCGGAAATATGATTAGTGTGAGCTCTTTGTTTTCAGCTTTTTGGACAAAACGGATACAAGAAAACAACCAGATGAATCAGAATGAAGCAACTAGTTCATGAAAGCAGAGCTTGCTTTGTTTCAAATGTCATCAAAACAGATATATGACCCACT